AATTATATCTAAGAGAACGATTCAGTACCACCAAACGATACAGAAAATAATTATCACTAATCTGCTTTCACTATGAATTATGCCATGCCGTAGCATTGGTTGTCAAAATTGATATATCTATACCAGAATAAATAAATTAAACCATCTAAACTCTACCCTCACAGTTGAAGGAAGAATTCTGACGCCTCATGATGGAAGCTGAGGTTTTTAGGAAATCACAAGACTGAAGCCTCTTCTAACAACTGGAGAAACAATTAATATAGGTATATGGAATGTTCGGACAATGTGGGAGACTGGAAGGACCAATCAAATAGCTGTGGCAATTAGGAGATACAACATGACGGTTCTCCGAACCAGTGAAACCTATTGGACAAAAAGGATAGATTCGAAAGAGTCGTTGTTATTTCTGGTTAAGAAGAAAATGCTCCGCACACAGAGAGTTGCTCTGGTGCCGTCCAAAGAAGAACGAAATACACTTATTGGGTGGGAATCTCACTGATCCAGGATCATCGAAGCATCATTCAAAACAAATAAGAAGAGAATTATAGTGAATGTTATCCAATGTTATGCACCCATCAATGATATCAATGACGACGATAAAGATCAGTCTTATGGGAGGCTGCAATCGATCACGGCGAAGTGCCCAAGAAAGGACCTGACTATCCTGATGATAGATCTAAACGCCAAAGTCGGAATTGACAACAACGGTTATGAAGATATCATGGGACTACATGAACTGACTGGGAGAAAGGAACGAGAATAGTGAGAGATTTTCAAATTTATGTGCATTCAACAAATTGGTTATAGGCGGAATACTATTCCCATACAAACGCATACACAATGCTACATGAGCATCACCGTATTACACTACACAGAACCGGATCGATCGTATTCGCATAACCAATATATTCAGGTCAATAGAAGAGGTGAAAACCAGGAGAGGTACTGATATAGCTTCAGATCACCACCTAGTTGTGGCCAAGACGAAACTAAAGCTAAAGAAGCATTGGACAACTGGAGAAACAGCATTATGAAGGTTCAATACAGCCTTCCTTCGAGATACTAACAAACTCAACGAATTCAAGATAACTCTCAACAACAGGTTGAAAGCTTTATAGGATCTAATGAAAAAAGAAGAAACTACTATGGAGGACAACTAGGAAGGGATCAAAGGAGCACTAACTTCAACGTGTCGAGAGGTTCTGGGTCTCAAGAACCATCATCATAAGGAATGGATCTTCATTCAAGCCCTGTGCAAGATTCAAGCAAGCGAAACTACGGAGACGGCTATTAACAACAGTTGAACAGGAACAGAGAAAGTAGAGACACGGACTGAATACACTGAAGCGAACAAACAAGTGAAGACGAACATTAGAACCAGGAAGCTGAAATACGTGGAAGACCTGGCAACGATAGTGGAAAAGCCTCAAGAAAGGGAAATATGCGACGACTATGTGACACAACAAAGAAACTGGCAGGGAAACATAGTAAACCGGTCAAGGCCAAAGAAGGCAAGCCAATCACTGAGATTTAAGATCGGTGGAACAGGTGGGCAAAGGACATTGAGGAACTCCTGAATAGGCCGGCTCCAATGAATCCACCAGACACTGAAGCAGTGCACACAGATCTCCCTATATCTGTCACTCTATCAACGATCGAAGAAATCAGGAGGGTAATCAGTCAAATCAAGTGTGGGGAAGCAGCAGGACCTGACCATATGCCAGTTGAAGCACTGAAGCTAAACATAGAAGTAACTGCAAGTGTAATTAACGTCCTATTCAGAAAGATTAAGGAAGAAGAACAAGTCTCGACAGACTGAAAATATGGATTTCTTATCAAGATACCAAACAAAGCAGATCTCAGCAAGTGCGAAAACAACAGAGGCATCATACTATTATCAGTGCCGGGAAACGTTTTCAACAGAGTGCTGTTGGACCAGATGGAATATTCAGTAAACTCCCAACTTCGAGACCAACAGGTCGGATTCCGTAAATATCGGTGATGTACACACCGATTTGCGACACTACGTATCATCGTTGAGTAATCAATTGAATGGAACTCACCGCTATACATCAACTTCCTGGATTATGAGAACACATTTCACAGTGTGGATAGGATAACATTGTGGAAACTTCTTCCACACTATGGAGTACACGAGAAGACCTTCAACATTATCTGGAATTCATACGACAGACTACACTGCAAAGTCAACTGACAGACGCATTCCAAGTGAGGACCGGAGTCGGACAAGTCTCCCTACTCTCCTCCTTTCTCTTTATCCTTGTGGTTTACTGGATAATGAAGACCTCCACACCTGACGGGAAGCACGGAATAAAATGATATGTTAGACGGAACTAGACGATTTAGACTTTGCGGACGACCTGGCTCTTCTATCCCATACACACAAACAAATGTAATTCAAGTCACACAGTGTAACAGCACCAGCCTCTGCATCAATAGGCCTCAAAATACACAATTTAGAAAGCACAATCCTGAGGTACGACACAGAGAACACCAAACTATTCACACTTGATGGAGAAACTCTGGAAGGGGTGGAAACTTTTCTGTATCTAAGTAGCATCAGCGACAAATGTGGAGGATCTAATGAAGATGTGAATGCAAGGATTGGCGAAGCAAGGATAGAATTCCTACAGTTGACGAACACATGGAACTCAAAACAGCTGTCAACCAATGTAAAAGTCACAATCTTCAATAAGAAAGTCGAGACGGTTCCTCTGTATGAAGCCGAAACATGGAGAGCTACCACAACCATCATCAAAACAGCACAAGTATTTATAAACAATTGTTTACTCAATATACTGAATGTTTGTTGGCAAGTTACCATCAGCAGCAGCCTAGTGTGAGAGAGAACAAACCAGATTTCAGTTGAGGAAATCCGGAAAATACGTTGGAGTTAGTGGATAGGACATACATTGAGGAAATCATCAGATGGCATCACGGCGCAAGCTCTAACTTGGAATCGTGTTGGGAAACGGGAAAGAGGAAGGCCAAAGAACACACTGAGACGAGAATTGGAAGGAGACATGAAAAGGATGAATGGAAACTGGAAACGATTGCCCAGGACAGAGTTCGTTGGAAAGTGCTGGTGGGCAGTCCATGTTCCCCCACGAAGGGTAACAGGCGGAAATAAGATATATATAAAACTTATTTTGCTAAGAATAATGAGCAAAACCAAGCTGTTTAACAATCATTTTACAAAGGTTCTTTATAGTTTTGCTAAGATTAAATCTGTAATTTGAAGATCGCTTCCGCTGAGTGGTGACATTAGCCAGAAAAACATTAGAAAACAAGAAGAGTTGAACAAACAGATAGTTCGATTCATTTTAAGGCTTTTGAGTGATGTAAACCGAGGACCCCACATATCCAGCTTATGTCGTCTCATGCGATCATTCATTATGTTTCATTCCTAACATAATTCTCCAAATTAATATTAATCAGTGTTAAGGTCTAGTTTCAAATTGAACTAATTTCCACAAGCAATCCAACACAATTAACTTCAGAACTCTTGGATTAAGAACTTTCCGCTGATAAGGTTGAGTGTATAGTAACCGGTAAAGATGACAAGTAGTCTGATGGGATAGTGAATATGTGTCAACTGAGATGGCTGGGTCATGTATAACGTATGTTCAACCATCACTTACCTCCAAAAGTGATGTTTTCTAGGGTAGGAGTGGATTGGAAGAAATCTGGGGGCACTTGAATCAAGATTTAACATTAGTTCATAAAATCATTGACTGCTGGATTGAGCCTTGTTGTTAGGTACAGAATTCCTAATTTTTGTCTTCACAATTAATATAACTAATGATTGAAGAAAATGATACGGTTGACAATCGGTCGCAAAAGAGCAGGTGCACTCATCTTTTGTCTTTTCTTAGATTTTGGGTTTTAAAACTGTTATATACTTTAAACTCAACTAGTTGTTTCTGTCTTCTAGAATGATATTGTCTGTCTTTAATGTTTTCCACTACTACTAATACTGTTACTAGCAGTAAAACTAGTACTCTGACACCCTCTTGATATTATCATCTAACTAAGCTGACATAGCAACCTGAAAAGTTGCTTAAAATTGACCGACTGACGACCTAGTACAGGCATATGATCGAAATGCTAAAATCAATACAATTGCTAGTGTAAACACGTCATTATGACTAAATGAGTGTTATTGAATATTACACTTTTAATTGGTAAACTTTTATGAAATGGTATGGATGACGTGACTATAATCTTCAAGTAACCGACAAAACATTCTAGAATAATTTCTATCTCAATTTTGATTGTTATAAGGGAAAACCTCATTTTGTACACTGGATATAGAGGTGTTCGTTCATCAATTTGTCCAAAATCAGTAAGATAACATTAAACTGACAATATTATTTTTCCTACCAGTGACAATGTGATAGATTTGAAAATGAAGCAGGAAAAACTATTATGACAAATTAATGTTTAGTACTTTAAATAATCAAAGTTTCCAAGAAATATTCAAACTAGATATAACTTTCTAATGTATGTGATAATAATTGTAAAGTTATCACTCTAATTACAAATAGATTAATACATTGTATTGAGTTCAGACTTAGTTGAACATCTTGTTGCCAAGTCATTTTGAATAATGATAATAGGAAATTAATTCTGCCGGTTACGAGCCATATAGAATCTAAAATCGGTACTCTGATCTCTAACTTGAAACGTAATTGACTAATTGACTTAATTAATTAAATCATTAAAAATTAATTATCATCACAAAATGTGCATTTAATGTTTACTAACAAAGAAAGTGAAATTAATTAATGAAATTTCGTTCCTGTAATAATGCTGATAAGCTTTGTAGGAATACTAGCAAATCTTTCAGTTTTCTCATAACATACAAGAAGTAATAATTATTATTATATTTATGTATCTCTCTTTTGCAATAAGTAACTCAATGGTATCACATACACATTTAGCTAAATATTGAAATTAGAAAATTATAGCACTCATCTGCTCAATTTAGAAAAAATTTTATCGCAATAATTGTTATTCGATTGTTGATGTTCACCAATAGAAAGCTACCTTTGCAAGGGATTTAAAAAGCACACCACTGAATATAGAAACCTATTAGAAAATGTTTTTTTCTCATAGTATTGAATTTTTTCTAGACAGGATACTTGATTATGATTCAATTCCATTTGACCTATTTCCGAATTCTGTTCTGCTTAAACACGTTTCAGATTGTTGTTCACTTAAATAATTTGTTGATGTTTGCATATTGGATCGTTTTGAATATTTACAAAAACACTGATTAATGGTTTGAATAAGATAGATTTGTAATGGGCGTACAATAAATATAAGCGTACTTGGATTAATGCAACTATTCAGTGTTACAAGCCATAAACCAATTAAATGAGTTGTACAATCAATTTGATAAAGTATCCATCGATGTATACCAAGAAAGTAATAAATTCTGTCATATGAATGCGTTATTAAAAATATTGTTTGCATAATACATGTAGCTATTGTTAAAGACTGAGCAATTTTACGATGTCTTTTTTGTTTAGCATAGGATACAGTTAATTTATGACTTGATATTTTACGTGTCCAACTGTTGTTGGTACTACTATTAATACTGATAGCAGTACTAAAACTATTATTATTATTATTATTATATTGATGGCGAAATGTTGTACTTTTCAACGCTCCTATAACTTTTCCATACACAGTGACAGTTAAAACACATGGAAATAAATAAGTAAGACATGGCCACAATATAGAATCCACTTTCATTAATATATATATCCAGTTTTTATCATATAATATAGTATCATAACATTTCTGATCACGATATTGTAATAATAATGGATTGATAGCGATTAATATTAATGAGTAAATTGAAATACTTGTATATGATAATATTATGTAAATATTTTGACGTAATTGATATGTACGACTACAAACAACAGCTCCTAAACGATCTAAAGCTGTACACATCATATTACTTAAACTTAGTAATACAACCAGCCAAAATAATGTGTGACTAAACCACACGTAACATAGTACACTATCAATAATTATATATCCTGTATACCAACGTTCAGATTTTAATATTTTTAATAAAGCAAATGTACAAATAAGACAATCAAATACACATTGATTACATAATAGTAGTGTTGTTAAACGTGATCCTAACTTCACATTGAGTAATCCATGTAATACAAATAAGTTTAATGGTATCCCAATTAATTGTACAATAATTGCAAAAAATTTTATATTGATAAATAAAATCATTTTCAATGATGAATTTGTAGAATTGATTGTATGTAATTGACTACAACTTATGTTTAAAGTATCCATTTTTAATTTGAAAATGTCATTTATTTTATCTTTGACGATAACACCATCTCCATTGATCTTTTGATGAAGAAAGTAATGCAATTAAAATAAAAATATGCATGATCTTTAACATTTTAAACAAATATTTTTAACTAGTTATTTGTGTGCAAATCTCATACTTTTTATCATTGTAAACATGAGTTCAGTAGAATTTTTTTTAAAAGAAAATAAACAGTGAAACTTATTTGATAGTTTATAACATTAGAAAAATATCGCTATTTTTCATTGGTTAACTAATTTCATATTGTCGTTAGTTTTAAAATCGTATTGGTTTAAAATTATGGCAAACTTTATTTATGGTTAACCAAGAGGTGGTAAATAGAATATTAGAAAAGTTTCAGAACACGATAAGACGAATAATGTTAGTGTAACTGAACTCTAATATAGTTCAATATTTTAGTGATAAACAATTATTGTCAGAATGGGTTTTGTGGAGATTTTTAGAAATTCCACAGGTTGAAATCATGAGTCAATTGAAGCTAGACCACCATGGAAAACCTGGAAGCACTGGACGGCCGTTTCGTCCTAGTATGGGACTCCTCAGCAGTGCACATCCACGATCCCGTACCCCGTGGGATTTAGGAGATACTTCTGGAATTCTAGTGAGAAGCCGTTACCAGTGGAGTTCAACCAGGTCTGTTGTGAGATATCAGCTCACTAAAGACAATGGTGTACGGTGGCGCAACTTCGTGGATTGGTTGAAGTTAGAGATTAACACTGTTGGATGCCGGCTCAGTGGTCTAGTCGTTAAGTGCGCGCGCGCGAAGCCAGTAGGTCCTGGGTTCGAATCCCGTGGGGTGCGGGATCGTGGATGCGCACTTCTGAGGAGTCCCATGCTGAGACGAAACGGCCGTCCAGTGCTTCCAGGTTTTCCATGGTGGTCTAGCTTCAATTGACTCATGATTTCAACCTGTGAAACAATTATTGGTATTTATTATTATAAAAAAATGACAATTACTCTTAAAACTGATTTCTATCCACCAATTGTGTTTAAGTTAGAATGAGTAAATTATATTTATACAAGTAAAAAAAAGTTTATGATTACTCATTTGTAACTAGTTTTCACCACAAAATGATATCAGCTAGAGAATTATTGCAACTTAGTGGATATTAAACAACCATTTTACTTTAATCTGAGACAACTAATTAGTGCGCATATATTTTACACACAATCTAGGTTACAGCCTTTATATCCTTAAAAGAGAACGATGTGTTGAAACCATTTAGTTAGGTAACAAAAGTTTATATTTCCAACTTTATACGTGTGTAAACATCAAGTAACATTTGATTTGTAACATTGATTCAAGCCTTTATTATTCTTATCACAACTAGTACACCTGTCATCACACTACCAATTTACACCTTTCACTTATTTATGTAATCTATTCCACTGTCATCATTGACTCACAAACTGTCTTGATTGGTTAAATAATTTCGTATATGCATATAAATATTACTGTATATTAAAGCCTGATGAGGATCTAAAAGTAAACATTAAGTAAATGTTTAACTTTAATGTGAATGGTAAGTTGATTGAAAAGAAAAATGATTCGTTGATAATGACATCAAGTTAGCATTTCTATTTAACATATCGTACCATGAATTATTTGTACATATTTTTTTAAGATAGAGAAATAACTTACAAACATAAGAAAAACGCTGGTGTAAAAAGTTAACATCTACTTACCAAACGAGGAAACAAGCTGTTTTCATTTTCTCGGCTTTTAGTGCAGTAATCGTATTCGCTGTAATTATAATAATATACCGCTTGCTACCTTTTCAAGTATCTCCAATTACATAAATTTTTCTAGAGAAGTCCATCATATATTCGATAAGTATTAACGGCCTTAGTACAGAAAATATTTTTGGAAAAATAGAAACACAAACTCTCCCTCACCACGTAACAAAAGTAGTGATAACTATCAATAACTTTTAGTGTATGTCTTTCTATTTGCAAGTGACTTATCTTAGACGGCATAAATAGTAACTTCCTTAGTGTAACGATAAATAAAATGCTAAAAAGATCGGTTACAACTAGCTCTACTACTTCAAACAATCCTCAAGTTTTTAAGCTTTCCAATTCTAAAATAATATTTCTGTTGGGAATAGAACTAAAGAGATGAAGAACTCTACCTTCTATATTCCATAAGGTAGCGGCTTGTTCTTTACAGTACCTAGATTTCGAGTAATCGTTAGTAGATACGAACTTCATGTTACTCGCTTTGGGTAGTAATATATTGCCAGTGCCCCTCACATAAAGCGTGGCTGAGTACAAAGTACATAAACCTTTACCTAGCTAATGAATCCCACTATGCTAATATGATTTTTGAAGCAAGCATTCTTGCCATTATTAATATGAATCATTACATATGTGAGTTTATTTTCTAACCTGTTCTGAGGTGCTTAAACTTTTAGTGAATTTATCGAAACACTTTACCTCCAATTAAAAGTAACACCCATTCTTTTTTCGTAAACAAGTCATCAGATGTTTTGTTTCCGTGTTCCATATTTTACATCTGATAATATTCCTTTAACAAACCTGATGATACTCTCAAGTTATTTTGACTTGATTTGGAACTCTATAAAAGTTCTTACTACAGATCCTTTGTTGGGATAGAATACAAAACTTCTCTCTTGTGATAACCACATTAACTTTGGTGTTAGACACTGTAACCTGTCACTTATCAAATTCAGTTAACTTATTACATGGTCACCGTCTTTCAAATTGATTAGTATACATATATTCTTACAGTCATCTCACAATCTGTAGATTTCCATTAGAAATTTACAATAAGTATTATGGAGAAACGGTAGATAGACAGTAAACTAACTCCCAAACTAACTTACAAGCGACCATAGAATTCGACTTGTAAATATCAGACCGTTTACTCAATAAACAAACAAGATATCAGTGCTTCAATAGCATAAGAAACAATACTGTAGTCGAATTAAAATGAGAACAAAATTATTGAAAATTTTTTGAGTAAACTGCCGAATCAGTTTTGCTATTCAAGCTTACTGTTGTATCAGTTTCCAAACAGCACGGTGAATCGATTACTAGTTAAAGAAGAAAGTTTTAGCAAGTGGTATGACATACTATTGGTATGAATTAAAAACAAATAGTGTTACATTCATAAACTGGGATGTGACAAATCAAATACTTGATATAAATTATGTAATCTCGTTGCTCAACTTCACGCCGTTTTTTTACGATTTAAAATATGAAGTGATATATTGTAAACCATTGATCGTATCTGAAAAAATGTCACAACACCTAAAATCCCGATTCGTTGTTATGTACGAAAAACAACAGTGACTAGCATTCATTCAATAGAACAACTGTTGTACTCATTTGTTTCCCGATTGATGAAATATAGTAACATTATTACTAACTAGTTAGTATTATCTGTAACCAAGTCAACACGCCATAAGTGTATGCCGAATTCAATATTACTTTGTCAAATGACCCTGTCTCTGAAGTGATCACTACTAAAATGTACATAAATAACCCCTTCATTTAAACACATAACAGCTGCTCACTAAAAGTACTGAAATAGTCGTCCAACCTCAACTTTAGCCTGAGGATACTCATCATGTGTCGTTACCGACTATATCATTGCACCATCGTTAGCAATTTCCTATGGAACAACTATTGCCGATGAGAAAATGAAGTACTTCACACAAGAGTTACAAAAAGGTATACTTAGTTGGATTTACATTACAATGACTGCCCGTCGAAGACGACTACTAAATATCCCCTTACTGCTCCAACTTAACATCTTAGAGGGGTATGAATGGGTCCTTAAACGCAAACCGGTTGACCTCTCACTGAATAGACTATCGAGCAACTGTTAGTACCTTTATTTGAAACACTGCTTGTTGCGAAATTTACCAGGTAACGTTAGAGTTTTACCTAATTTCTTCTGAGGAACTCCCAAGTTCTGTAACTGCAGAATAAAAATATTTTGACAATTAACTTGAATCCGATGTATCTTTTCGCAACAGTTTCGGGAAAATATGATGACCACAGCGACACCTTTATAACCATATTGTGAAATAAGGCACTTGATGTTAGATACAGCTATTGTTTTTATCTTAATAATTATAACTGTCAGATTTCGTAATTTCTACAGTGGGGTTTTTGTTGATGGGTATTTAATCACATCATCATGCTTGACACAGAAAAATGTGAGCGGGTATACGTCACGAGAAGTGGCAATAATGAAGACTTTCTTTTAGATGAAACCGATGCCTCTTTTACCTATAGTTAATGCCCCAAAAAGACTGCGTTCTTACAATCTCTGTCAGAAACATCCTACATCCTGAATTCGGAGAGGAAGTTGTTCTTTTAAACAGTGAGGGGATAGAAGGAAATATAATTGACTGTTATACTGTGAGCACAAAAACAGTGATGACGGTTAAGAAAGTAACTTTTAGAGCTCATAATTGCTTATTTTTAAATGGTCTATAATTACTTAAACTTATTAAGTTGGCAAATGAACTACAGTTAGAAACGTTCGACTACCTAGAGTTAACAAACACAGTTGTTCATTTTAGCTGTTCTGTAGTATTTAACCTAATTCTTTATTCAACTGCATTAAAACCACATACTTTAGATTGTTCGACTTTAACATTTGGAATTTTATAGATCTGAAAATGTACGGGTTTCTGAAATAACAAAATTCCGAATCCAACATTAGTGCAGTAAATAAAAATATACCTAATATCGTCTCTGTTCACTGAACCTTTGACTTCAGAATCTACTCTTAGTAGTATCAGTATTATGCTAAACGTTATGACTACATATTTACTGTTCGACTGTACTCTCGGAAACTATATATTTTATAACTAAGTAAATAATTCTACATGCTTTCCACTGTGCCAACTTTTATTACTCCACTAGGAGTTTAGCACCTGAAGTACTAGATTAAAATTTCCAACGTTTATTAGTCATTTCGTGGTATCACAGTACGACTGATTTTTGGGGACAGATATACACACAAAACACAGTTTAAATATATCAATATAACTAAGCCTCGAAATAATCCGCTCTAGGAAAAAACGAATATTGCTACATAAACACAAGATAATACCGTACAATAGAAATCACAGAACTATGTAAGTATTAGGCTGTAAGCAGTGACATTAATAAAACTTGATATTTTAAACATCAACAATTTCTTTATAGAAGAAGCCACCAAGTTTTATCCCGAATACGATTGTAGTCAAGCATGGTTTCCACTGGACCTGGAATACAGAAAAAAGGAGGTAAGATGGTTTTCGGAACTTCATAATTAAGTTCGGAATATCCGGATTACAGTACACGAATAAATATGACAGAATCGAAACTATACGAAAACTTATCCACTGTAACGGATATGGTTCATATTTAAAATACCATGTTTATTAACTCAAAGCCAATAAAAAATCCTATGGTCTTCGAAATAACGACAAGTCAGGTTTTATTTGGTGTTTCCAGACATAAATCCTTAGCAAACTTACAATAATCTTCGCTGTAGCAGGAGTATCCTTGTAAGACTTATCAACTCCTTGTTAGTAAACAAACCACATTGCCTGATTATTACGAAAAACGATAAAATTATCTCGAAATTCCTGTAAGTCAGCGTAAGTTTCGTGGAAATAGGCTACGTAAGCCCAGCAAAATATAGGTAAAATTTCGGTCGACTGACTGTAGTTAGTGAATACACATCATCCCATTTTGCACAACTTATTTGCATTTATTGTCCATGTTTTACAAAGCATAAAACCTAAAATTACTTCAGCTCTGCCATGGCCTATTTGCAAATATACGACGGTATGTCAGGAAAAAGAAATCTTAATTCATTATTTTAATAAACCCTGTTTTAGAAGCAGTTCATTTACGCTAAGCCATACAAGTCTATTACCTTTTGGCAGTACCAGTAGTCCTTAAAACGAAAATAACTACGTGAAGTAATATGACACTTAGCAATTCAAGAACAAACATTCAGATGACAATATGCTAGTAACTAAAATTTACTGCTTTTATATTCCAGTTGTATAAATAAACCAATAAATATCTAATAAATATACCAGTTCTGATAACTGGAATAATAGTCCAACAGCAAATATAACTATCATATTTGTGTAAGTGAATGCCAACATTTAACAGTACAATTAAATAAATTATGAAAACAGTTACCGATGGACGCGACAGCAGGGCATTTATCAAAGAAGTACTTCATGCATGTTTCCCTAACATGTTCAGCATTAAGCGCCTAGAAAACAAACGTACAGAAAGTATTATATTTAACAAAAATTTCGAAAAAACCATCGTATTTACTGTTTAACTTATTTCGTAAAAATAATCATTACTGAAGTTCAAAAGGGTAACTTATACATTTACCAACTGCACATAGTTCAGCTACCAGAAAACTTACCACCGTTTGAACTCTGAAGCAACCTTTAATCTTATTTGACCCTACGCTTTATATCTACTGTTTAAATATTTATAACACCAACCAACCAGCAGAGCATTAGCCTGATGGGTGCACAGGTTTTATATTAATATTTGAACACATAGATATTAGTACAATGAGGCATCACATACATATGCGCCACACAAATCTCATTTGATATGTGTGAGGGATGTGATACTGCCCGGGTGCCCAAACCGAACCAAGTGGTTTTCTTAGGGAGCCACTCCCCGAGCCTTCGACCTGAAGGTCTGATCCACAAGGTAGTGGAGCATCGTAAGAGATCCAGTCCCATGGTAGCCGGTTACCAACGTTTGGTTCATACGCCATTTGTTCCCTCAGGATACTGGAGCCCATGTGCACCATTGGTTTAGAATCAGGGTTTTCCAACTCCCATAGGTGGACTCTCCATGTCTACCAACCCGGTTAAAGCGCCGGACATTAGCTTCTCGTCTTCTCAAGTTCGCAAACAACACCCCCACCACGAAAAGGCAATAAATAGGACTTCTCTGGCAGAGGCTATATACGCGTGGCCATGTTAGAACATTTCAAGAGGGAGGGCGGACTCTCCCCACTCTCGGCTGTACCAGGGCATTTGGGGGCAAATAGGAACAATAACGAGTCGGATTTGTATGCACATAGCATGCAAACTTATTTTAATATCTATCTTACTGATATTATTACAAACATCAAGACATTTATGACCAGAAGATATTTCTGAACACAAATATTGGTACAAGAGGGCATCAAATATATATGCGCCACACAAAACAATGAGAATTTAAAGAGAACGGAAAAAAAGGACAATAACGAGCAGATTAGTGTAAGGTAGTGTAATAATAATAACAATGGGGGGAACGAAAAGGTACAGTCAGAAGAAATCTATCAGTTAAGAAAGATACAACCACTTTTTATGAAGAAAGTAAAAGAAGGTTACAGCAGGATCGCCACGGGCTTCTATTCTGAGCCATATCTGATAACGTCTCTGGCCACTGTGCTGCACCATCTCTCGGACCCCAGCCAGGGAGTCGTGAAGGACCAACACAAGTCAGCCCTTTGCAGCTTTCTTTCATACCACGACACCATGTCATACACTGACCACATCTCCGCTTTTTCCAACCAGTCCCAGAGTCGACAACTAATGCGCAACGTGGAATTCTCTGGGACGACACTCGTAGAACATGTCCAAGCCACCGAAGTCGGTGTTTCGAGATGGTGACACCAATTGCATTCTCATCTCTGTGCCCGAACACACAATGCCGAACCTCTGCATTACTAACATGGTGTAGCCACTGGACGTCAGCAATCCTTCGGAGACACCGACGATCAAACACAGAGTCTTCTAACGTCCTCAACTCGGAGAGGCCAGGTTTCACAAGCATAGAGCAAAACTGCTCTCACCGACGCGTTGTAGATCCGACCGTCTACAGCCAGACTAACATCATGAAGGCGCCAAAGATGGCCCAGATTGGCATAAGCCGCTCTGGCTTTCACTATACGTGCATTGATTTCATCACTCACGCCACCACCAGGACAGTCTGACCGATGCTGCCGGAGCAGCAGGCCAGTTGAACTGCCCTTCAAAAAATTCTACTCATCGTAAAAGACGCCGAAGGATGTTAGTGATTGGCATACGTCATCCTCACAGATGATCTCACTCACACCAGACTTCTTGCTGCCAGTGACTCGGATGAGTTGAAAGAGCTTCCGGTAGTTACCACATGCAGCTGCTGCTTCCAGCTCATTAGCACGCTCCGACCACCAGGCTTCTCGGTCTTTACGCAAGCTTTGCCCGATTTGTTTACGTAACATCCTTCGTTTGTGGCCAAACTCACGGTTATCCGGAGTAGACCGACGGGCTTCGATGAGTTGTAAGGAGCCTGAAGGAATCCAGTGCTTATAAGCGGGACGTTTCGCGAACCTGCAAACGGCTTTACTCTCCATTTTCATGGCGTCATGCAATTGCAACCAATGCTCATCTATACTTTTCAGTGGAATGGTAGCTAGCCTAGAAGCTAGTTCGGTTCGATACTTACTTACAACAGAAGTTGCAACCAACTTGCTGACATCAAACCTTTGATGGTGGTCACTTCGTTGGCCACTGAAAAGTAAGGTAAGTTTGGCGCAGACCAGGGCATGATCAGAGTCCAGATAGGTACTCCAAAAGGAGCGGCAGTCTTGTACACAACCACGCCAGCGGTAGCTGATCTCGATGTGATCAATCTGAGTCCAGGCTTGAGATGCAGAGGGAGGACGCCAGGTGGCACATCGGCGATGACTATGCCGAAAGTTATTGTTAGCCAGAAACAGATTGTGGTCTGTGCACAGTTGCAGTAGACGGTCTCCGTTATCTGTCCTGTGACCAACAAGTCCCCATCGGCCACCTAAACGACCCTCTTCTGTGCCTAGACGCCCGACCTGAGCATTCAAGTCTCCGGCTAGTACTACAATATCTGTCGAACGCACTTTCTGAAGAACAGTTAACTGGTGGTAGAAACGTGTTATAAAAAGACCAGTATCAAAAATATTGTGAACTCACTACTATGATCAGAAACTAAGCAAAATGAAGTACAACATTGGTAAACCTGTATTTCTTCTTTTTCTTTACTTAAAATGAACGACATTCATATATGTGCTATTGTAATTGATAAAGAATAATTAGAGGGATCACAGTTGGTGATAATTTTAAAATGACTGATTTGATAAATGGTTCTTGACACATTGGTTACAGTCCATATTTTTTTTTATCAGAAAATGACAAATAATGCAGACGATGAAGTGAAACTAACAGACTACAGACGGAATGTCAGGGAAAATCAACTACTTTTTAAATTCGTAAGCTTTGTACGAGAACCTCGAATGAGTTTATCTTACAAAACTTGCTCATTCTATAGATAAATATAAACTAACTGAAAATGGTTTGAGAAAAGTCATTACATTGCTGTCAGCTTAACAATGTGTAGAATCATGGACAGAATGAAGTTTTAACAGAGAAAACAAGTAAACAAACTTTTAGTTACTAACATAAATAAACCAAATAAGAGTTAAGTTGACAACCCAGGAAGAAAGCAATTTCGATACGAAGCTAATAAGGAAATGCCAAGTACGTTAAGTCTAACTTACGTCAATTCTGGCTAGCAATTCAGTTATAGGTATACGACGACCATACACCAACATGTGCCGACCAATTTCTTCACAAATAGGTGTAGTGCCATCTAACTGCAAAAGAAGATGTGTTTTCAATTGGTTCTTCGCTCTGTCGATTTCATGCTGAGTAACCTGAGTACACATACGGACAAATTCTTTAAGGAATTCTCCAACAGATTCACCCAAACCCATCTTTTCTGCTGTTAAGTAAACTCCCCTAAAAATTTCGGGACGAGTAGTGAGATATATAACTACAGGCTAACTTATACAAGTAAAAATGAAAGTATTACATGTGCGAAGAAAAAGTACGATGAATATTGAGAAACGTATGTATCGTAAATAAAAATATGTTTGTAATACACCAATGGGTAGAAAACTTATGTTCTCTGAAGTGGTTTATACTGAGTCACGAAACGTTAGAAAATCTATGTTTCCTACTCTTTGGGATATTACAAATATACTATTTTTATCTATAACAATCTACCCAATGCGCAATCTATTTGAAATTATCAAGTTAAACCTTGGTAATGATACCAACATATGTATTGATTGGTTCACCAAATTAAACATGTGCCTTGATAAAAAAGGCTTTTCGAAACATAACTCACATTAAGGAACATCTATTTCATAAGCCGTGTCGTGTAAATGAAGACATTTAGCGGTAACACAAACATAATCCTTAAGATAAGTTGGCGAAAATCAGGAGAGAGTTTTCTATTGGTCTCGAAGTGGACTACGACCCACCAGAGCTGATAGGACTACTCAAGTATCTCAGGTGATTGCCACGCTTAACTACATCTTCTGCACCAAACTAGACATTAATCCAGACAGGTCCATGAGTATGTCTATCTTTAAATCCATTTAGACTAATTCACTAGCCTTTTGGGTTTTACCCCAATTGTCATATCAGACGCGTAGTTAAAACGTGACGAAGTAAATGGTGATATTTGCATTTGGTTGATGGACACAATCATGTACAGTGACCTAGCAACTGAGGGTACTATGACTAACCTACAAAACTCAAAGAAGATTCATATCAAATGCAAACCCTGACACCATGGTTTCTGAAAAATTTTAATCATTAAGAAATGCAATGCAAAGAAGCTCAAGACTAACCATACTAGTCAGTCATACGAAGCCAAGTGTCTGATCACATTAACCAATTGACGCACTGATATAAAAAACTTAAAATCATATCCCATACGATTATATCAGATATATTTTGCATATCGTTCTTCGTTGCACCGAAAATTACTTTTACATCTGCTTTTAATACTCAGTTTTTGTGTTGGTAAGGAATGTTACAACATAAGTCTAAGGACATTTGAAACTGACCCCACTTTGTTCGTTTCGAACCTGAAATTTCCTGCAACATTGATCGAAGCAAGCTTTGTGGTTTAGAGATCAATAGCTTCTGGTGGGAATTGAGAAGTATACAATGAGAAACGAATACTTTCTTCATTCATAAATGACTCAATTAATAAATTAGAGCAGGAAGTTTAACTAAGAATAGCTGGGATAACTGTGTAGAGTTGTAGTCTGCGACTATCCTACACAGTTCGAAGCTGATTCTAGAATCCGGTTAGGTACTTGCTACATTGTACAATATTTGTCAGTTATTTTAGTTCCTGTCATCCTTAGTCGATTTCCTTTCTTCATGTGGACATGAAATTTCGCAACAATAAGCAATATATTTCTTGTTGAATTATTGCTAACAACATTTGACAATGCATGTTTCAACTATATAAATAACGTTGTTATGGGTTTAATTTAACTTAATGGATCCAAAACATTACTAACCATAAAGAAGTATCATGGTAGCAAGTAAAGAAATGCTGGAAACTGTGTACCGAATTTTCCATAAAAAACTTGGAGGCCAGCTTGCTGGCAACATTAAATCCTCCCCCATAACTTCTATCCCAAGCACCATGCAGACTGCTTGCAACCATCAGTGCTAATGTGTCTGAACTTTGCCAACCCGGACCCTCGAACGCTATCGCAGCATGAGCTACTGGCATAGCATCGTCTCTGTCACGAATCTCAGAGCCTGTAAAACGACAGCGTTGTATGCTTGGTACCCCTTCGCCTTCCTGATAAGATGCCTGGAGATCGCCAAAATGTTTCTCCGCGAGGTCGCATAGTTGCTTATGGTCGACTCCTGAAATATTAGCTTGAAATAATCCTTCAAATACCTCCTGCAGCGCTGAGCACCATTCGTGGTGCTTTATAGTTCTGTTTGATAAAATTCTTCATATCACTGGCTTTCAAAGATTTGACATTTTCTACAGGTCCAAGAATCGTTCTCCCAAGAGGTGTCCCTTGATAAGCAGTTGCATGCAGGTAATCAAAGACGACCTCCTGGTAATTACTCTCAATTTCCTACAAACTTATCAAACAAGATTAAACAAACCTCCATTTCCCGTAAAATGACCCCTCTTTCACGTTCGACCTGACTATTCTCAAACTTGCTGTTCTTTAATATATCCGATAATAATTCAACCGCTATGTAGTACATATTAAAATATTATAAACTGTACCCCAAGGTAGATCCTCAACAAAACATTTCGCATAATACACCGTCATCTCACGGGATGTGTATGCATTCAAATGCGCACCTTTGTTTTCCACTTCAAGTTCTAAAGACTGTTGACTCCTCTTTTCAGTCCCCTTAAAAGCCATGTGTTCAAGGAAATGAGCTACACCATTATTAGATTCTGTCTCATATCGACTACCAACGTCCACCCAAACGCCAACCTAAAATCGAGTAAAACCATTGTAGGGTTACAAACCGTGCATGTAGGAGTATTCCAGTTCTCAGAAGCTATCCGAAAACCGTTACTTCCCAAAGTAGTCACCTTAGTCTCCGGCATATGAACCGTTTCAAACAAAGGGACATATTTAGTGGCTGACCCGATTTTCCTATGACGTATCTAGAAATATGTGTTACGCATTGTTGGAAGTGAAAATATACTGAGGAGATTATTGGACTCAGTCTACGTGAAGCAAGTCGAAGTGCCATACCAAACAGGTAACGAATAAATTTGTAATGTTACACTTCGGAAACACCACAATATTCAATATATTCGTAAAGAGCCGATTTGGACCAGTTGATTTTTTCTCCCTTATGTCCAGATAGTGTAGATAGGCGCCAAATTTTCAACATCGTCCCACAAGCCTTGTCGAATAACTACAATAGTGTAGCGGTAAATAAACCCCCAATCAATAGCTCTGTAAATCTTCGACATTGGATGCTGACCACAATAGTTCTAATGGACTCGCCTACCTGTAGGCGCTCGTTCATGCATCCGCACCAGATCACGAGTGGAAACGCCGTGCCCAACAACCCCTTCAATCTGGCTAGCAGATTAGATCAGTGGATTCTCGATATATTGATAGCATATCAAATATGTCTTCTAACCTCCTCGCTTCTGTCTTTTGATTCTACTTGGTAGGTACGATTCATACTAGGTGTTACTGGTTAAATCATTGCTAAACTCCGAATACCTGTGACGTCTTCACTGGTGAGCCCAACGTGATCTGGTTCACCAAGTCGTAAACTGTGAGTCTCTTCTATTTTGGAATTCTGTATTTTATTGCTATATTTCAACCATCATATATTGTTATATATTTTCGTGTTTTTGGTTATATATATGTATATATTACTCGTTCATTCCCGAACGTGATATTTCACGATTACGGAACAGACACCCAAAGTAATTAAGCTTACGATTATGTCCCCACCTTCGTTCCAACTAATGCCCTTCTGGCCAGACAACATCGAGGCTTGGTTCTGCTACGCAGAAGCCGACTTCTACGAGCACGGCGTGAACGACACACGTGCACAACTCCCCGCAGTAGTCAAGGCACTACCGCGCGAATCCAACAAGTACGTAACACCTAGTATGTTTACTGATGATGTTTTGGAACCCTAAGAAACACTGAAACGATCTATTCCTAAACGCGGAGACCTAACCGATAGATAAAGGTTAGGCCAACTCCCCAATAACGTCGATCTGCAACAAGGTTCTGCGACGGACATGTTGCAGCGGATGAGAGAAGTTAGCGGCCAAAGAACTTTCGATGATGGCCTTTTCTTGTCCAAACTTCCTCAGCAGGTGCAAGCTGTGCTGGTTTCGTTCCAAAACAACGCCTCAGACGAGCTAGCTGCATATGCCAACCGTATTTTATAAATCACGAAATCTTCTAACGTCAAGGCTTTTTCAGCCAAAGAAAAGCCTCAAATGACCCAGAATGACCTAACAGAGTTATGTCATACACTTCGCATCTCCACAATCTAGACCTTGTTTCAGAACGACTGCAAAAACATCGCGTTACTGCAAACATCCGGAAATATCAAATTTGAATCGACTCCTTAGATTTCCTAGGACACACTAATAATATGAAAGGCATTCGACCTCTAAAAAGCAAACTCGCGGTCATGCTGAATTATACAGAACCGACCACCATCAAACAAATACGCACGTCTAACGGCCTAGTAAGTTTCTATAAACGGCTTACACCGAAATGCGCGTCACTTATGAAACCGCTAACCGACCAACTTCGTGGAAATGCGAAATCCACCACTTTAGATGACACCGCAAGAAAAGCATTCTCCACAGTTGAGGAACATGTCGCTAAAGCAACAATGATTGCAGATCAAGACAATTAACTACTCGTGAGTCTCGACAACTGGACTGCATTTCTCAGTTTACTTCAGACATCCAACACATTTCTGGAGCAAACAATGTAGTCGCAGACGCCTTATCTCGAATAACTTCCTTGAACAGTTTCCAAAGAATCGACCTTCTTAAACTCGCCGAGCTTCAAAAAGAAGACACTGATCTTCAGCACGAGTTATCATCTACAACCCTCAAACTACGCATCAAACAGATGGGGACAGGTAAGGAAACCTTACTGTGTGACACATCTACGGGTAGGAATCGCCCAATCGTGCCGAAACATTATCGACGCAACGTCTTCAATACGTTGCACAAACTTTCTAATCCAGGTGTTCGTGCAACCATCAAGCTTATAGCAGAACGGTTTTGCTGGCCTGGCATGAATAAAGACGTGAGGGAGTGGGCACGCTCCCGTGTAAGCTGCCAAAAATCTAAGGTTATCAGACACAATAAATGTCCCTTAGGCTCATTTAAAACTCCCGATGCTCGTTTCGACCATGTTCATCTGGATTTGGTAGGACCTTTACCAGATTCAAATGGATACTCTTATCACTTGACCTGCGTCGACCGTTTCACTCGATGGCCAGAAGCAGTGCTTATCAAGGACATCACTGCTGAAACAGTGGCCCGCGACTTCGTCGAACGATGGGTAGCTAACTTCGGCTGGCCTTCAACCATAACTACAGACCGCGGACGTCAGTTCGATTCTGAAATTTTCCGTTGTCTGAACACACTATTAGGGACCACTCGCTTCCGAACGACGGCCTACCACCCACAAGCAAACGGGTTAGTAGAACGCTTTCACTGGCAAATAAAAGCTTCACTATCAGCTGCAAACATTTCTCAGTGGACTGACGCTTTTGCACTCGTCCTACTAGGTATTCGCAGTGCAGTGAAAGCTGACAATGGATACTCTGCGGCTCAGCTCGTTTATGGAATGACACTTCGACTTTCAGGAGAATTCGTGGATCCTTCATCCTCTTCAATGAACATGGATCTAACCTCCTACACGAACAGGTTTACGAACGCAATGCGTTCAGTTAAACCTGTTTCCGCAGTCAACTGACGTTTTTGTTCAACCTGATTTACGATATAGTACACACGTTTTCGTTCGTCGAGACTCGCATCGACGACCTTTCGAATCAGCATACGAGGGACCATATAGTCGATAAGAAAGGAACTGACTATGGCATCAGCATCGACCGCATCAAACGACGTATTTTGAAGGAAACCCTATGCATGTCGATTTTCCTTCGGTACAACCGAAAGACACGACTAATACACTCATGATACCTCATCTGATAGCCAACACACACGGAGATGCTTTGGCAGTAACAGAAAGTAGGCTCAAATCAACGAGTTATGGAAGAAGAGTAAGATTTCCAGAACGTCTGAACGATTATTGCACGTGCGACACTAGTAAACGTTTTGTTTTGTCTCAATTTTTCTTTGTATTATATATAATATAAAAAACAATTTTAATATGCTTACATTTGTACATTTATCAAAAACCTTTTTTGGTAATATATGTGTATCAAATCTTTTCTAAACAAAAATAAAAGAAACCATTCTGTAAAAATCGTTTTTTTACGCCGTCGCATGTGCATGAGTTTCCTTTTTTTCACCCGCTTTGTGTCTTTACCGGCGTACAACTGTCTTTCGACATGCACTAACATATCCCTTTCTTCTTTTCCAGGACGGCTTGAAACGAAAATAAAGCGTCGACGAACTTACGATGAACCGAAATTTTCATTGTACCTTGTTTCTTTATTACTATGTTGTACTACATGATCCCTTGTAGTAAGAAAAGATGACCAGACGCTGCGAAGCAAACCAAGCTATCAGAGGAGTGTTTACCAACGACAAGCTCGTTGGGCTTTAATTTCTGGCTACCCATGTCTTAGGGTCATTACTACCCCACTAGGGGGCAGTGGCTTGTAGCGGTAAATAAATCCCCCAAATCAATAGCTCACTAAGTCTTCGACATTAGATGCTGACCACATACGTTTTAGTGGACTAACGTAACTGAAGGCGCTCGGTCATGCATCCGCACCAGATCACGAGTGGGAACGCCGTGCTCAACATCCCCTTCAACTGTTTGCCAGATTAGATCAGTCAATGCACGATATATTGATAACCTAAATCGATTTGGGCTCCCCATCATTCAACACGACTAATCATTGCGAGTGATTAATGGCATTACAAAATCATATTATGTTTGGGCAGTAATGTGGTCGAGTAAATCTCTCTGCACTAAAATAAACCGTGTTAAAACTAACAAGCCAACTGGAGCACTAGCTAGCGATCTAATCGTGGTGAAATAACATTATCGTTGTAAAGGCGGAGTTCGACTAATATAACATGACCACATTCAAATTCGACTTTACTGCCTATGGAGTTCTGAACTAATTTCCTGAAAGCACATGAAATTGGGCTGTAGTTTGAAAATAGTGACTCACTATCAACACTTGACAATTGTAGAACAGGAATAAAGGCACAAATAGTCCTCAGATATTGTATCTATGCATATTCGCGTGTCCAATTTACATGCATGCACACTTGGTTGCGTTGAAAGTTACTAACCACAATTTAGGTCGGGTAACCAGAAAAAATATTTAGTCCCGTGGTGCTCACTTGTCTGCATCTCCTGTTCCTTCTCGTCGAATTTCGCTGTTATCAGTGTACGGCAGCATTTAAAACTTAACAATATGTGGACGATAATTACACAGGCATGAAAAGAAAATTGCCTAGAGCGGAGCCCTGAGGTATTCCACTAAGCTTTAGTTTTCATTGGGAGCATTGGGAATGTATTTCGCCTTAGAAGAGGCACAGAAGTTCATAGATTTTTCGGATTGAGTAGGGTCTGATTATACTTTGCTGAAGGCAACATTGACTAAGTACACTAAATATGTTTAATCAGACGGCTTTGTACATCTCTTTCTTGATGTACGGAGGTTAGTCGTGCATGACAATCCTCTACAGAAACCGTGTTTTTCGCCGTCTCACAGTTCCTCAGTTTCCACTGTCATAATCGTTTTTCAGCGATTCCTACCAATATCTGAACTATCATACCGATGAGGCTGACAGATTTGTAGTTTAGAGATTATCCCGCAACCCTAGAATGTGACTCATTCGATTTTGTCGATTTTTCCGTGTTCAAGGTGTACGGCATCTTTGGCAGCCCGTCTGTGAATGGTATTGCTTCTCGCGCTAGTCCTTCGTTGAGAAGAGGCTCACTGGTGAAACCTGACACGGAGTGATGATCTATGATTTAGTGTTGGTGTTAGTTTCCTGTTACTAACTAATCCATGTAAATATCGTGCCGTTGGCCGACGTACAC